TTCAAAAAAAAAAAATTTAATAATTACATGCATATATTATCTACTTGTCTAAAAAATTTCTTGGATCTACCATATTGCTAAAATATTTTATCCCATAGAACACCGTGAATAAAATTTACAAAACTAGTAAAAGTTTTATCCATTTGCTCTTTCCATTTTCTCTTTCAAAAAAAAAAAAAAACAAAAAGAAAAAGCTTTCTCATCTTAAACTTTCTTCTTCGTGTTTTTTTCTTTCTTTTTCTTTATTATTGAAGGTTTATCATTTGTTATTAGATCAGCTGATTCTTTTCATCCAAAATAAGAGTTACCTCTTACTTCGCATTGCTCTTTTCAATACTTACATTCTGAAATGTAGTAAAGAATGACGTTGGTTTTTCCATTTTCATACTTATACACATATAAAATTATAAATAAATTATTACAATACGTGTAAGCACTTATATACATACATAAATATGTAGGGACCAATTCGGATTTTCATATTATAAATAATTAAGGAGAATAACATAATAATAAAGTCGTTTTATCATTAGATAATTTATATTAATATTAAGGGATAAAGTTTAAAAACTGCTCAAATTTTAAAAATTCATTTTTTAATTTGTTTGAAATACGATAGAATTTAAACACTTTATAGCAATTTGTAAAAAATTAATGATTAATTCTTATACAAAGAGTACAGAACTTCACAACAAATTAGCTAATTGCCATGAATCTACATATATTCGGCATCATTTTATTATTAAAATTATTCATACTAGTGCCGTGCCGCCTTATAAGAAAGCATAACGAAATGCGTTTAGAATTTTTTTACTCTGATTTTGTGAAATGAAAACGGCAATATAAAAAAACACGCGATATTTTTGTGATCATACAAATATTAAATTTATATGTCCATAAAAGTTTTCGCATATTGAATATACATACATAGGTATCTACATATACCTATGTATGTATATTCAATATGCGAAAACTTTTGTTTATTAAAAGATACTTATATATGTATGTATGTTCGAGAGTGGATTAACATATACATATACATACATATGTACTTTAAAATTTGTATTCGGTTTGCACAAAATCTTGATAAATAATATAAAATCGTGCATTTATTTACTTTTGTACTTATGCATACATACCTGATACACACACGTATTTATGTATACATATGTATGTACACGCGTTTATATACATACATACATACATACATATATTACGTACCTATTTTCATTAATATTGGTGATTTCTCAAAATTAAAAGGAGTTTCAAACTTACAAAAACTTGTTCTTTTGAGTTCTTTTTCTTTCACCAATGGCAATGTGATGTAGGAATTTCGGTGGCGTGATGTGGGAAATTTCATGGGATTTTTTTTTTTATTTTATAACGTTCCTTGCTAATATGCAAATATACATAATATGTATGTATGTATGTACATATGTATGTAGGTTCGTATAAAAATGACTTAATTTTAGTTTTCAATCGCGTAAAAAAATTTATAAGCATAAATAATCATAATATAATAAAAATAAAACCTTAAAGATTAACTACAAACGTTCTTTTACTTACATATATTTCTACTATAGGCAAGAAAACATTTCAAATTTCGAAAATTAAGATTTTTTATGTGAATAGTAACAAGTTTGTATGTAATACCATTACTCTTTTTTTAAATACGCGCTGGATTTGAAGTTGTTTCTCAAAATGCTTTTATATGCACCAGAGGGGAAAAATGAAACTGCAAATATGTAAAAGCATGTGGGTAATTAGTGGCGCCTTGATTTTAATACGATTTATATACATACATATGTACATATGTATATTGTATTCTTCAAATGACATTGAAATAAAATCACTACAAAAAATGTTTAAATATACAAACATACATGCATACATAATTACATGATTACATACTAGTACTACCGGCATAAGCATTAATTTGCATCTGATTTATATTCTGATATTGTGTATGTATGTACATACCTATGTATGTACATGGGTAATAAATTTTGTGCTTTTGAGAAAAATTTGAGAGAGAAACAAACTTTTTGAAAATTGTTAAATTTTAATTTTGTGGTTAAGTTGCGATAAAATAAACAATTTCTACATACTAGATTGCCAGATTAAAAATACACAATTTCTCTATCCCACTATGCAATAAAAACAAACTAACACATAATGTAAGTACGTATAATTTACTTTTTGTATTTTTTTTTTTTTTGTTTGGTGCTATGAATACCGTTTTAAAAGCTTAAGAGGTAAAAAATTGGTACCTACACTACATTTAAGTGCATAAACATGTACTTATGTACATAAATTAGGTGAACGATTTACTACTTTACGAAAAGTCGCAAAAAAAAAGCAAAAAGGGAACCGAGTCCTATAATTTTTATTATATTGAAATACTTACCTCTATAATAAAAAATAAATTTCCGTGAAAATGTTTTTATGCTCGAAATTTTTTAAATTCGGTAAATGTTTGTTAGTGACTTTTAACTTTTACGTTCAAAAATGATCAACGACATATTAACATACGTATATATTCATATAAATATATGCATACATACAAACATATATTATATTTTTATAATTAAATAAAAAAATTCTTTTTATCCTTTCAGGATATTGATTTTAGAAAAGTATATCATTCATAAAATTAAGCGGCAAAAGATTTAGAATTTTGCAAATAAAAAATTTCAAATATGGTAAGTTGTTAGCTCAGTTCTAATATTAATTTTTCTAACTTGCAAATGTTAGCAAAGTAAAAATTTTTGAGTTTCCATAAAAATTTAAAAGTTTTTGGGTTACATACAAACACAAAAGTCCTGCATATCAAAGTATATTGTAAAAATTTTATTACAAATTTTCTGGTTGAATTTATATATGTATGTAATCGCAAATTACTTTTAAATATTTTATTTCAGTTTAAATTTACCAAAAATAATATTGATTAATTTGTGCTTTCAAAAAAAAAAAAATTGTGGTACACACTAATTAGTTTTTAAAACACTGCATATGTGTAGGCGGTTGTAATCGTACTAAGAATCCAACAATTTAATTAAATTAAAAAACGGAAACATTATAGTTCATGCTTTTGATATTTTTATATTCATTTGATTATATTATATTCATGCTTTTGATTATTTCAACTTAATAACTTTTAATTAAATTAAATAATAATCACTTGATAGAACCTCTATAATACAACGATCATACATTAATTTTGATAATATTTTGCATATACTTTGCGGTATCATTTCAAAACACAATTAAATTTTAATGCCTGAAAATATGCAAAGATAATAAAGCTTACACTTTGTTAAAATTGATTATCATCATTTGATTTTATCATTTACCGGTTTTAAAGCTCACTTTAAAAACGGTAATTTTCCAAAAAAAAAATTCACTGGTATCATAAAAATTAAAGTAAACTTTCAACTTAACCAACTCGTAATATAATTTTTTTTTAATATTGCGGTAGGTGTTAATCGATAAAATTGCATACTTGCAATAAATACTATATTAGTATACAAAAATAAATCATGCACTTGTTCACTGCATCAAAGATGGGAAAAGTTTTTATTTGTTCATTAAACTTGTATTCGGTTCTGCCATTGTTACTAATGGTTTAATATTTCTAAATCTAAACGTTATGTAAAATAAAATAATTTTGAAAATTCATTTGAGGATGAATTCATGAATAGAAATATATAAATCCATATTCTATTATCGCACCACTTGAGATGATAGAATTTTATTCAAAAATGATGTGTATGTGATAGGCCATTATTCAATGTATGAGCAACATATAAAAGAATTAAGGGTAAAAACAAAGAACTGATAAGGCGTTTGTGTAAAAACTTTCACAGTAAAATTCATATAAATGAGTTATTCATGAATTTGTCTTCGCGTCACATCATACCTTCATTTTTGTTTCGTGAATTCGTCATATATAATCGCCCATATCTGTATAATAAATCTATCTGTATATAGATCTATTGAACTCACCTTTGTATTATTTTGTTACAAGATCTGTTAGGAAGGAGGTTATAATATAAAAGTGAAAATTTTTTTGTGTATTTAAAAAAATCTTCAAAATTGTTAAAATACTTATTTAATTTACAAAATTTTAAACCGCGATTTAAGACTTCAAGTTTTATAATATGTCAATATTATAATATCTTTTATGATATAAGTGAATGCTAATTTTGAGGCTTTATTTAAATACTATTTATCAGCTTACAATACATATTGTGAACTCCTAATGGAGGGAAAAGTTTCACATCAACAGAAAAACATCAAGGCGTTTAAATTTGTTTCATTACAAAACTTATATTTAAAATTTTCAAACTGGGAACGTTATTACAATTTATTTCTTTTTTTTTTTATTAATTATTTGTTTCATGTTTTATTCCATGTTTTTTTTGTTTTTTACAATTTCATATAATAATACAATTTTGTTTAATTTTGAATTTATTTTATATATGTATACAATATTTTCATTTACACAAATATAAAAATTTAATTTTATTCTTTTTCTCTAAAAAAAATTTTTTTTTTTCTAATTTTTGGAACAAAATGCTGTTTACCATCTCATTTCAAATTTTTTTGTAGATTTATACTCTTTTTTTCTTATTTGTAACAAAATAAAGTTGTTTTTTACTATTACAAAATTAATGAAAAAATTCAAAAATACAATAATTTTTTTTATACAAACATGATTTTTAATTATTCTGCTTTCTTTCTTCAATTTTAAAGTTAAAACAAAAATTAAAAAAAAAAAAGAGAATTTTTAAAAAGTAATAAAAATATTATAATATATTTTTTTATAATAATTAATTAATAATGGATCATAAGTAAAAATTCCATATATTTTTCACTTATGATAGAAAAACACGTAGTCGTTATTTGAATTTCATAGAATATTTTGTAAATTATAAAAAAAAAATATAATCCTTAGCAACAAATGTTTTGTTTTTATTAATATGTTTTCGTTTACATTATTTTATAGTACCGAAAACTGCACAGTTCAAATTTTTTTTTTTTCAATTATTCGTGAATATATAGAATAAATACCAGTGTCGGTTTCTTTTATTTTTATGCCTTCTAAGGCCTAAAAGCATTACACTTACTCGATAACATACTTGTACAAAATTACATTTAAGCGCAGAGCTTAACCAAGCTGACTTATTCAAAAAGAATGGTTACAATATGTTTTAATTTTTAAATTTTATAGAAAATCTTGGTAAAAATATTCTTTGCAAGCTTTTAAGAAACCATTACCAATAACTTAAAACTAAGAATTATCAAGTAATAATCTAAAATTAAATTACTGTGCAATCATGGTCGTATGAGAGAATTTAATTCGTTTTTTTTTTTTGTTTGAGTTGTAGTTATTAATAGGCAATTTTATATAATTTTTTTTTTTCACAAAAAATATAGATTAAAGGGCCAAATTTTATTTATAAATTTGAACCGTAACTTTATTTTTAATTTTAATAATATTTTAGATAAAATTATACGTCAGATTTTTTTTATAATTTTTTAATTTTTTTATTTTTTTTTTAATATAATTTTTTTTTTTTTTTGTTGTTAATTAAAATATATTTTTAACCTTATTATAAACTACAAAAGTGATATAATATTATTATAAGAGTTATTCATATACTCAAAGCTCGAAATTTATATTACACCCTTAGGAACTGGTCACCTTTACTTTAGCTACAGTACATATTAAAAGTTTTGCATTCAAAATACAAAACAAAAAATTCCAGGAAGGTAGCTCAGAAATATCTGTTCTGGAAGGATGTAATTTTTATAATTTCCATAACATGCGAATTTAGATAACAAACTGAATATCTCTATACTATTACTTATTATACAGATATATAATTTTTTTTATATTTTGTATTATAAATTTTTGTGTAATATTATAATTAATATAGTTCAAATATAGGTTAATTTTATGAAAAAAAAAAATGAGAAAAAAAAACGAATTTTTATTTTAGATTATTTTGGTTTTCTTATATGATTAACCATTTGCTGTTGCTGAAGGACTTAATAAATCAATATCCGAACTACGATTTGCAATACGTAAACGACGTTGCATTAATAAACTTTCACTTGGTGGTGAAAGTCCAATGCCCATTGTACAACTTTGTACAGAATTATTATCTAATATATTATTTGCATCTTCATCACTACTACTATTGTTGATATTTAGTTGACGGAAGTTCATAATTGGAATCACATTATTAGAGGTTTTTGAACCATCATCATTATTAGAATTTGTAAGTAAAATACCATTAAGATAATTTAGATTATTTAATGAGTGATGATGATGATGATTACCAGTAACAGGTACATTTAATGATGCTGATAAACCACAATAACGTGGTGCTGTCGGATAAATACAATGATTACGCCAATTTTCAATTTTATCATCATTGTTAATTGGTGTTTTAATTGCTGTTGTTGTATTTGTTGCGTTATTTAATGTAGCAGATGTTGATTTTGTGCTACTATTACTACTACTCTTACTACTTGATGAATTTGTAGGTGTACTAATACGTTCTTCTGGACATACATATAAACGATTTGTAATTCTTTCACTAATACCATAATATCTTGGTAAATAGTTGCGGTAATTTTGTACATTAGCAGCGTTAGTCAAAATTGAACGATATTGATGGTTGTTATGTCGGTTTTGATTAAACATTGTCAATCCACTAGATGTTGATAATAAATTATTACGAATTTTTAGTAAACCATTATTATCAGTGGAATTTGTAATTGAATCAGAAGAATTACCAGCTGCTTGATCTGCATGAAATTGTGAGTCAGTAATATTTGAAGTAGAAGATGGAGAAAAATCATTGTAACTTATATTATTTTCAATATTCAATTCATTATTATCATTTAAATTGATTTCCAATGAATTATTTTCGTTGTTCTTATCATTTGTGTTTGTGGTATTCATTTTCATTTTAGAAAAATTGTCAATATTTTGTATCATCTTAGCATTAATAACATCATCACATCCGTTTACAACATAATCAAGATTATTATAATCATTAGTATTATGATTATTTTCAGGAATATTTGATTGATTTTTGTCTTTAAGACCATAAAATTCGAAATTGTCTTCATTATTGCATATTGTATCATCACCCATAGTAAATTGCACCTTACGATTTATAGCTGAATTATTTTGATCATTAATCTCTGCATCTTTTAATTTTCTACCATCCAAAATAGACGTCTGCTCTGTAGTTGAAGATGGTGTAGTGGTTGACATCGCTAATTCCATATCTGCACGATATGGTGGTTGATAAATGTTTGGACGCTCTTTCGTCATATAATCACTGCGCATTGAAAAATGTTGTAAAATGACACGTTTTACAGCCATTGCTGATTCAGCGAAACGTGATAATTCTCGTGCTGATTGATTACTAAAATTTAAAAAAATACAATTTTTGTAAAGACTTTAATGACAAGCAATGAACTTCGAGAATATTTAAATAAATATTTTTTGAATTAATATAAGAAAAGGAGCTGGTTAAAAAAATAAAATAAGTTAATATCTACCGTCGTATTACGCCTGGAGTTTTTAATGCTTTACGACGATTTTCCATTTTTAGGCTATCAGCTGGCTCGAGTTCGGCCATTTTAATCCATGGATGATTTAACACAGCTTCAGCACTTAATCGTTTTGGTGCTTCCTTAACTAACAGTCCTTTAATCAAGTCTTTAGCCTCTACACTAACATCAGTCCAATCAGGATCAGGAAAACTGAAGTGACCTTAAAAAAAATAAAAAAAAAGAAATTGTTAAATAATTTAAATATTAAATTGAAACTAATATTATATTGTACCTCCTTGAATTGATTCAAATAACAATTCTTGGCAAGTTCTACAATTTTCACCACGATTCCAACCACAATCTTGTTCACAATTTCCTGAAAATGGTGGATAACCGCAAAGTAATATGTACGCAATCACTCCCAATGACCATAAATCACAACGTTTATCATAGCAATTTGCCTCACCAACAAATAAATCAACAACTTCTGGTGCCATAAACTGTAAATAAGTGCAAAAATTTTTAAAATTATTCATATTTTTCTATTATTCTAGTTTTTGAAACTTTTTACACATTCCATTCTAAAAGATAAGTGCATTGTTAATTGGTAACTTTCTTGAACTATAAGACAGATAAACTTGACTTGTCTTGAAAATGATTTTTAGATCGACATGTAAAATTGTTTGGAAAAATTTTGAAGCGGTAATTTCGTACCTTTTTATTTTATGTTCACAAAAATTAAAGTATTACCTATATCAATTAAATATCTGATCTTTGATTGATCTGATTTGATTAGATATTTCTTACTCACACAGATAAGTAACATGTTTTCTTATTAATGATACATGAAAACTTAATCTGAATATTAGAAAATTGTTTGAAATAAAAGTCGAATATGAACAACTGATGAATGGATGCACTTATTTTATGATTCCTTTTTTATGTGTCAGAATCATAAATAAGTCAGAAAGTATTTAATATATATTAATTTATTATTAAAATATGAAGTCCAAAATTGTGTTATTTACCTCAGCGCTACCAACCTGAAATTTAAAAAAAATATGTGGATTAGAAATTTTGTTTAAATGATTGTTAAAGGAAAATTTAAAAAAAATTCAAATTTCATTTTAAGATTTAATTGAATCGTTTATATTTAGTTTTAATTTTGGAAAAATTATAAATCTAAGTTCTCCCCGTCAATATTATTGGCATAACAAATATTTTTACATGGTGCATAAATTCCAATATCTACTAAGGTTAAATTAAATATTAGATAAACAATAATTAAATGGTCCATTAATCTCTAAGAAATTAGTCAGTCTGTAAGAATAATTCATTTCCAACTATAAACTTTTAAATATAATGTATGTCTTTAACTTACGAAATCAATTTTGTGGATCGTTAATCTTCCTTTGTCTCAAAAAACAAATAGCTTTAAACTTCTAGTAATAGTAATTAGTAACATCAAGCTTCATCAAATAACATCAAAAACTCAAACACAGTGGAATACACATATAAGTAACACGCTTAAAAGCAAAACTCGCTTAAAACAACTAAAAATTGAATATCTTTTTCTGCTTTTTATATGTATAAATGCAAAGCCCGGTTAAATGCAATTAGTACCGAGAGTAGATACATATTTAAAAACTTTCATCAAATTCTATTTAACGAACTTTGTTTAATATACACAAAAGAAAAACAAAAATTATATTTTTAACTTTAATAACTTAAATTCAAGTACGTCGTATGGTATAATGTGTATATCATATATGTATGTACGAGTATATACACATTATATCACTCAATTCTCACACAATTCTGTTGGTATAATTTATCAAATAAATTAAGGACAAGGTCGAAGAATTATTTAAACTTATTTTATATGAAAAAGAAAACTTATACATATCATAAAACATCACAAATAAAACTATTCTAAAAAAAAATTAAATTAGTTTCACTAGCATCATTTTTATTTGCTGAAATAAATAAAATGTTGATTTTAAATTAATTTGAAAAATAAATTTAATAAATGAAAAAAAATGCGATACGATTAATTTTTTTTAAAAGTAATACCAGTATAATTTTTTACAAAATTAATTTATTTTGTAAAGCAAACCAAATATAATGAAGCATGAGAAAGTGACTGTTTTACAAAAATTAATACGAAATTGTTTTTTAATTTGTTATAGAGAATTAAGGGCTGTATATAAAAGAAGTTTGTAATAATTGTTCCAATTTATAATAAATTAATTTAGTAATTTTACTATAAATCAATAATAAATATAATAACAAAGAAAAGTAAGTAAAAAAATAATTAATTGATAAAATATAATTACTAGTTAAAAATCAATATAATTAATTGATAATGATTAAAATTAAGGGAAACTATAACTTTCGGACAAAATCCATTTCCAAATTCTGTCAAAACTATAAAAAAAAAAATAGAAGTTTTTCTTAGAAAAATTTTTTAGCATTTTCAAAAAAAATTGATAAATATTGTTTTTCTAATTAGCAACTTTCCCATTCGAAACTTATTAGACCTATATTAAAATTTAAATTTTCTGTGAATTTCTTTGAATAGATGTTCAGGTCTAATTAACTTGTACATTAACTACGATTCTATCATGCAATGGGAACGATTGAAAAAATTAATTCAAGAAATATTGTAAATATTTTAAGGCTCAATCAAATTAGGATTTTGAATTTATGAATTTATTTTTGAAAGTAATTTAAAATATTAAAGTAATTACTGGATTTATATTAACTAGGACAAATTTCATAAAAGTAATGCCAAATAATTTATTTCTCTTCCTTCTTCAATGTTCTATTTTAGAAATTAAAATTTTAATAGTATTATAACCTTATAAACAAAATGTCTATTTTAACAAAGTTAAAACTAACTAAAATATCAGGTTTTAATATAAAAAACAACAATAATAAAATTTGATTAAAAACAACAACAATTAGACAAAAAAGTATGAATGTCACGGCCTAGAATTTTTTTGATAAGAAATTTAACAATTTTAACTAGACACAATGCAAATTAAAATAATTATTTTTTTTTATATTGACATAAAAAATTTAAATAAGTCTTTATTGTATTTTTGAATTAACTTTTAAAAATGAAAATATTTCAGGTTTTATTCGGTACTCAATTCAATTAATTTCAATAAGACAAAAATAATACCAGCTTCCATCATCAAATTCATATCCGCAATAATTATATTTATTGAAAAATATTATATTTTTAACCCTTTCATTTCTAAATTATGAATTACACATGATCAATTTAAGGTTTTTGGTAGTTTCCTTAAACAGAGAGTTATTTGTCTAGTGTCAAGACTGAAAGGTTCAATTGTGATTAGTCTCGGCAGGGTTGTAGTAGATTGGGAACGGTTTCAATTTAAAAATTTAATAGTTGAAATCGAATATTTCGAACACTCTTTTAAAAAAAGAAGAGTACATTACACATAAAAGAGGGAGACAATTGATGCTGTGAAAGTTACATAAATTGATGTATTATTGAGCTTAGTTTAAATTAGGCACTTATCTGGCATTTTTTTATAAGAAACAAAGGAATAAAAAAAATGCATTAATAATTTTTAAAAACATCTTAGAATGTACCAGCACAAGGGCTAACGCATTTAAAAAAATTTTGAACTTTTTCTAATAAAGAATTTTATTTTCCTTTATAATAGTTTTTACGTGATTAAAATCACACCGTACAATATTATTTATTAATTTTTTATTATGTACTCTAGTTATTTATCTCTAAAATACAGTAAACAAAATATCAAGAAAAAAATATGAATAATTCTTTTTTTATATTCCTCTACGCATTCATTGTTAATATTCTTAAAAAAGAAAATAAAATTTATTATAAGAATTAAAATTAATTTTGAAATTCTTTTAATATTTCAAATTTTTTTGAGCAAAAAAATTTCTCTCTTCTTTCTTTCAGAGGAAAAGTATCTTCATTTTACTATTATTTGTGAACGTATTGAGGGCACTTTGGTCAGATCAACCAACGCTTTCATGTACGATATATGCAAATATATTATTATTAATGTTAATGTATTCATAGTGTATGTACTCTATATAGTATGTACAGGGTGTTTTATTAAATAATCTATGTAATTTATAGTTACAATTGTGTTTTTTCCTTTTTTTTTTAAATTTTTTATACCTTTTTTTTTAGTTATATGAAAAATTTAAAAATTTAAAAATATGAAAATTTCAAAAATATTCCATTGAAATGAGCCCTTTTGTAATAAATGAAATTTTTGTTTACCATTTAATATAATTAGATGAAAATAAAACAGTGACAGTGTTTACAAACATGATATATACAAACATATTCTATTAGTAGTGTCACTTGACGTGATGTTTTCTTATTAAAAAAATTTGTAATTTTTTGATTAAAATTAATTTCAAAATTTTAAAATCTATATTGAATTTAAAATCATCTGAACTGACGCGACTATCAGAATATATCGGTAAAAATTTACGATTTCAATTTACTTCTGTTATTCCAGATATTTCTGTTTACTTCTAAGTCCAGTCAGATTCAAAATCAATTGAATTCAATTAATCCAATAGAAAAAAATAATGATGTTTTCACATTAAAACTGAGCTACGTCTTAGAAGTGTCGAAAATCTTTAAATATTTTTATAGATTAAGTCATAAATTTTGGTACATATTGCAAAAAAAATATCTAAGAATAACGAGCCTCAAACTAGGAATACATACATTTATTTACCCCCTTAAATTCATTACAATTTACTCTTACTCTAATTTGAAAATTAACAAGAATATAAATTTCCCATTTAGTATAATCCTGTTCAATTTATGTACAAATATAGGCTATATACTTATATAATTGCTTATAACATGTACATATGTATATGTATGTATTAATATTATTTTGTTAATTGAAAGTAATTTTGAAATTTGTTGTATTAAAGTTTAAATAATACATTTTATACTAGATTGATTGAATGATGAAGTAGTTAGGCCTAGTAGACATTTTGTTCTTTATTTAAAACACAATTCAAATTAAGTGAATGTAAGTGAAATTACTCATTCGAACATTATATTTTAATAGCATGTTATTAGAAATAGAATATAATTGTTTCATATATTTTGAAGCTTAAAATTTTTAGATAAATATACAAAAAAAAAATAGTTGATTTAATAATTTATTGATAAGATTTCGAATTTAAGCATATTCGAATTTCATATTCTTTATTGTTAACTTTTAAAATTTATCTCAATAAATTTAAGTACTGCTCTTGGAGTCCTAAATTTATGATATTTACTATAATTTGTTTATAAAATCACAAATACAATACTATACGTATAATACAAAAAAAAATTATAGTTCCACTTTAATCACCAAGAAAAAAAAACAAAATCAAAATTATTTCTGCTCAGTTTTATTTGATCTTAAAAATTGAATAAATAATTTATTTATTTTTCTTTTAATAGTGATGATTTTCATTCGACTTGTTGTATTTTTAAAGTATACATATAAATTTATATATATTTCCATTATTATTGCTTTCTTGTAATAAATTTTTTTTTTATTTTGCGAATTTTTAAATAAATCGTTAATCAATTTTCATTACGTTTTCTCCATTATGTGTTGTTTGACACAAGAGATGAAATGCAAATTTTTAAATATTCATAAATGTAAATTTGTATAAATTTATATGTATATACAGATATTAATTTTGTTGTTTCAAGCTGCACGTTCCTCATATTAATAATAATATAATCTCGCCTACACAATTTGAATTCATAATCTTCATCAGAAGATGTCACTTTCATTAAATATAATATGTAAAAAATATAAGTGTACACACATGCAATAGGATTTTTGCCAAAAAAAAAAAAAAAAACAAATTAATATCGTAAAATTTTTAAAATAATTTCATTCATTTTATTATTATTTTTTTACTTTCATTTTTTATATAAGAAAGAATGATTTCTTTGTTTCGACTCGAGCCTGTTTTTCTTTTTGAATAAAATATTATTAATCGC